GGATTTACATAAAGGAGCTATTACTCTCAGAACAGCCTCATAGCACAAAGCACATTTCATCTCAGATTGGATTTATGTCGTATCATAAAGGAAAAGCATTAAAACAGACAGGAACCGGGAGCCAGGATGTTACCTTTAATGCACACAGTAGATGTTTCATCAGCCAATAACATGTTCTTCCCTTCCTACCGCAAATGATCACCATATCTACAAGCTGCCTTGTCACCGAGGACTGTCTCGGTGGTAGCCATGACAACACTTCACCTCACGAACGGAGTGAAAATACTGTAATTTTTCATAGCGCCGCTTTGGCTGAATCACACGGGGGGCTATAATTTAGAAAGGAATTGATAGTGTCTCGATGTCGAGGATAATCCTGATAACTTAACCATTGTGAAAGGTTAATGTATTCTTTTATGGCGGACTATTTCAATACAGCAGCTGTGGTTCAGGATACGGCTGTACATGTATAGAAGGGTCCTACAGCTGTGTGTTTTTGTCCTCCGGGCACAATGATTCAATGCTTGCCCTGTGAGACTGCTTGCCCATATACTTTCAGCAGATTCATAAGACGATGTTTTTCACAAACATGATGAAACCATCAAAAGAAATAGTTATTAAAATATGTTAGATTTGCTTGCAGAATATGACGGGATCACATGTGGAAGAGATATTAACAAAAAGAAACAAAAGACAAGACAAAAGAAGAAAAGCTTGAGACAAGTATAGTATATGCATTTCTATTTATATTGTACACATTTCAGCAGAAAGAAAATGGCCAGGGGGAACATTAAATTTGAGTTGTTTACGAGTTGATGTATTCTCTTGAACATAATCATTGAATATAATAGTAAAAATGGTTGTTGTTTGTCTGTGGTTCATATGTAACTAATGAACACTTTAAATTCAAAGTTTTCAAAACAAGGAGATGATTTCACTTGGAGATTATACCAGATGCCTAAAAGTTTTTCTTTTGGTGTAGACTTTTTTTTAAGGTTATGACAAACAACAACAAAAAAACAGGTTGATACATGCTCAACACAGATTATGTGTGATTGTGTATTAATGTGACATTGAATAGTGAAAGTGTTGTTCGACTTTGTTCTTTTTCAACTTTAAGTAGAATAACTGCCAAAAAAACAAAAAACACAACACAACCAATATCAGGAAAAAACAAGGACATCAAACAGCACTTTATGCATTTTTCAAACAGCTTAATTGTGTTTCAGAGATACATTTTTAAAGTGAAAGAACCCATCCATCATCCATTTTCTATATTATTCCCATAATTCTAATTTTTATGGGCTGGAACTCATCCCAGTTGACAAAGGGCCAGTCCATCGCAGAAGTGTAGGTACTTTATTTTTCCATAATTTTGTCATGATTGTACGTAAACTAAAGTGTTCATCTCAGATCCTTTAGGAGTTTCTTAAGTTTTCTTATTCTTATTCTTATTTATATCAGACATGGGAAGTAGGTTGTGAGATATTTGACCCATCATTGTCTTTACGCCTGCACTGTGTCGCCCTGTGTGGGGATCCTGATGAGCAGTGGCCACAGCGCAGACAGATGATGAGTGGGAGGAACTAGGTCTGCCACTTTCAGTCTCCTCCAGCTCCCTCAAGGAGTAACCTGGTTTATTCTGGGCCGGGCCAAACGTTTTCCTTTTCACCCGGGCTGTTGCCATGCAGGGTTGCTTGAGGGCAGTGAAGACATGCCAGAAAAGGTCTTCTGAGGCAATCCATTTTAATGTGTAAAATCTAGTATTGATATTTAGTCCTATCCAAATAACTTGAATTAAACTTTGTCTTGAGGAGAGAAAATGTTTTAAATTCAAGTACAATAAAAACAGGAAAGTGTGATTGAAAGTGCTTTAATTGTAGACATCCATGCACAAATACATTTACACGTGTTCCAATGAAGTAAAAGGAAGAATAATCTTGGAAGAATTGTTTTCAGTGTCTACAGGTGTTGCTGTTTCATTGATTCTGCTTCTATTCTACATACATCAATACATCAACTGGTGTCTCATTTAGGATGCAACCTCTCCAAATTGCTTTGTTTGAGGTTCTTTTAAAAGGATATATGATTACATGGAAAGGTATTTAAATTTAATGCCTCTCTCCAGAGTGGATGGTTGCTCATTAAATAAGCTACACTAAAGAACAACAAGTAAGTACTATGTGGCTCCCTCAGGGTGCCAGTTGGCTCCTTTGAAACACTTACCCAACAGTGCTGTATTGATTGGTACTTATCTTGTGCCTTCTTGAGCCAATATTATCTGAAACATCTTCGCTGCGTCTTAAATTAAAATGATTCAGGGAGATGCTTTTATCGATCAGAAAACAGAGCGAAGCAGTGTTTAAACTTAATTCATCCAGCTATATGCAAATAAAAGACATTGAGAAGTGAATAAGCAAATTCACAATGAATAAGATGTTAGCAGTAAGTATAAGAACTGTTAAATATAAATTGAAATGGATGGAAATTGATGTTTTATATAAAAAAGATACCTAATCAAGCTTATTTCTGCCCTGCAGCCAAGTTCAGAGGTTCTTTATTAATGTGCATTACAGTGCACGCATGGATGTAATACCAAATCCACAACTGTCACATTAAAAAAGACCAGAATAACCCAAGAACACTTGATTAATCATATCCTGATCACTTTAGTTTTTGTTCCAGCACCTTTCTTCATTAGCCGAATCCATCTGGCTGGTCTTGGAGCATTGATTTGAGCCTATTCATTTCCATGACACGAGTTACACAGCTAATACACATGTTCCAATACGTCTTAATTTGTCTCCTGGATCTGCCTCTCTTCTGACATACAGTCTTTTAGAAACGCTTTGCTGACTGTCAGCTTTAGTGTTGGCTCCTGTTATCCCAGAGCATTAGCTTTCACAGTTTAAATAGGTTTACCGGCAGCTGGGGGTCTCTGTCTGTCACAGTGGGAGGAGAGACAGCGGATGGATTTAGAGCTCTCTTTCCCTTCTTTGGCTGAAAAATCTTCCTCATTCCTGTCAATGTGCTGCTTATCCAGACGTAGCTCCACTTAAATGAGAGTGTCAGTGACTGAAAAGATTGCGGCTCTCAGGATTGATTCATTGATTAATTCTGTGGCTTGCTTTACGTCTTACGGATGACATTGATTGAGGTTTATTTGTATTTTCTCTTGCTCATGACATTGCCAACATTGGTTGAATGTTACAGGAAGGAACAAGCTGTAATTTTTTCAGGATATAGCTAGAAATTTGATCATTTAGAAAAAAGCATGTATGCTATAACTCTCTTGGATGGATACTGAATTTAGATATCTGTGTTTTTACTAAGTTTAAACTACCCCCCACCACACCCCAACCCCCATGAAAACAGCACATGTTGCTCTCCTCCAGGCCTGGAATTATCATGTTGTTTTTAGCTGTCAAAAATAGGGGAGAAAACTCTCTGTTTTACTCCATGCTGTCAGCTCCAATGAGCATTGTTTTCATCCCATCAGTGTTGTGAATATACACCTTAAAGTGATGGAGCCGGGCTTTGCAATCCATCATGCAGCTCTGAGTGGCTCGGCATCGCCCTGATAAATCAATCACCTGCTACATGTGCCAGACACGGATTTCTTTGTTGTAAAATACCTCTTGCTTCTATATTTAATGCACTAAATCCCCTTGTGTCTGGTTGCTGGCGGGAATGTCCCTGACAACAGAGAAGGAAGTGACATGTCCCATTGCCATGGAAACCAGTGAGGGATGTAGCGAATGAAAGATTTAACAGTTTGTGATCACTTATTATGTCACCATCCTTTCTTTTTTCCTAGGTAATGTTTTCTCTTAGTTTAAACTAAAATCACAACACAAATCTTTCATTTTGAGCAAATTGAGCCTTATTTGTGTGTTTTTTTTAACCCTACAGTTGCTGGTTGTCATGATTTGTGTGTCTGGGGCAGGTTTTCCTCTCAAAATAACTGCTGACCTGTGTTTTCTGTTGTCTGTGTTCATTCATCCCCTCACATCAGGCTTTCTCCTCTGTGTAGGGCTGTCCTTTAACAGGTCTCAAACTGAGGGGACAGTCAGGACACCCCTTGATTTAGGGTTGCAATCCAATTCAGTTTTGCCTCCGTTTCAAAATGGTACATCACAAATGTGTTAAAAAGCTAATGGAATTGTTTCTGATACTCCGAGTTTACAAGTAGAATCAAAAGAGGAGCAAGAACACAAAAAATCTGTGTTGCATTTTTCTGATTCCACAATGAGCATTATGGGTATTGATGCCTGCTGTTGTTGTTTAGACATGGGGGCGCTAATAAAAGAGAGGCTCTGTCGTATGATCATATGCTGATTTACGTCATTACATTTCATCTAATTATGGTGAGATGTCTTAAAATACCCTGCACAACTTATGGTCGTACGCACAACAGCTCACACGCTCACACACACAGGAGAGAGCTCAGATTGAATCCGCTGGATACATTTCTAAAGATCATCTTCGATACGCTTTTCATTCCCTTTTGTCCGCTGACAAGCTCAAGGAATTTATGTTCCCAGCTGAGACAAAGTGATAACTCAGTTGTTTATTTTCCGGGCCTTACATTTACACATTGCTTTCTGACCCCCCTCAATCCTCGGCATCCTTCAGAGGTCTAGACCAGCCATTGAATTATGGTGTTGATAGGGAATAAGTGTCGTGGGTTGCCTGGCAACACAGGCAGGAGACCTGCTGATAGGGAGATTACCACGGTCTCTGATAAAGTCCTCTCTGCCGTGAATGTCTGCTTATCATCGTGCCGTTAAAGGAAAAGTGTCAGCTATTAGTCCCCACTCCCAAAAAATGAAAATCAGAATTACAAAAGACAGCAGGTGCTTCACGCATTAAAGCCTTTCTTCTGAGCCCGCAGACATAATTTCACATCATAAGCCCCGCAAGACTGTGTGCAAAATTGGTTTTATGTGTGCATAACCCTATGAATTGTTAAAAAAAAACACATTCTCCATGAACATGTTTTGACCATTTCCTCCTGTCATTCCTCCGTAGATGGAATATTTGGAAGGTGCCACGAGCTGGCCAACGCAGACCTGTACACGTACGATATTTCTGCCTCAGCGCTCCAGCGCCTCAGGATCCTCCTACAGAAACTGGCTCACAGAGGTATAAACTGCCTGTCGGTCTTTGTCCGAGTTTCTTTATTTTCTGTTTGCCATCAGTCATGTGCATGGCTTACAGCAAATGCCTTTGTGTGAAGCCAGCCAAACAAGACAAGCTGTCTCTTTGGCTGGCGCAGCACACCGCTGCACAGCCAGAACAGGTCATTTGACTCATATCGGGCCATTGTTTAGCCATTATTGTCTAACTCTTGCAGCCAATCTTATTGGCTTGCATGCTCGCTGGACATTTACAGCTAATTTTGTGGATGAGCAACTGCGAGCTGTGCAGTGTAATCACATCAGGCAGCCTCTCCCACCCAGTTGGTGGCAGACGATAATGTGCTTGTTACAACAGGTTACAGCTTCAGGCTTTTATATTGTGTTTATACTAAGATGTCTTCACAGCAAAGGTAGCTATATAGCTTCATTAAGATAAGAACTACAATAGGACAACAACATGAAACCATATGCTGTCTAACCTTAAGTCAAGTAGGGTTTGTCCTGACACACATATTTTAAGAGTCTCTTCAATTTTTGATATTTTTTAGTCAGCTCTGTAAATCAAATATGACACATTTGATATTCATGTTGTTTCTAGCTGAAGACTGCTTGATTTTCAAACAAAAAATTGAAACAATAGTTGCCTGCAGGCTTCCTGCTGCACAAACGAGGTACTGATAATTAGTGAAATGATGAAAAGTAAACAACTTAAATTCTGCGTCTGAGGGGCAATATAAAACATTTGATTCTGATTCATTTCACCAAGTTATCATTTCTTAGGGTTGAAAATGTTTAATTTGGAAAAAAATTGTATTATAAGTGTAGGCAAACAGGGCTCAATGTGTACCTTTCTAAGTAATGAGATAAAATGAATTAACTGAGAAAATGTGTACAGCATATGGACAGCATTAAAGATGTACAATGAAAAAGGAAAAGAATGGTCTCCCATTCAGTATTTTTTAGAATAGGAAATAAATGAAAATTTCCATGACTGACCTGTCAAATAGGTATAAAAGGAATTATGTAGGGAAGAAAATGCTTTGCTTCTCTATATATTTGCAGCATGTAACTGTACTTATATTCCAGCAGGGGGCAGTAGGAACCTTCAGCACAAAGCGTGACCACAGCATCAGCCCTCCAAACCTAATTGGCTTTGCAGGCCACACTGAGCTTAATATCTTTAAACAGGCATGAAAACAGTGTTGAAAATCATTAAGAGTATGCGGAAATCTAATTACTGCTTAGAAATAAACAAAGGAGAATGGGGAAGATGAAGGCAAATCTGCCTTGTAATTCTTTTGCTAATTTATTTTAAGGGGTGTTAAAGTCTTTAGATGTGTCTCTTTACAGGCCTTCAACTCTGACCTTGTGCTTCAAGACAGCCATTAACAGACATGACATGGACTCTTTGAAACATTCCCCCCATCTTTTAGAGTCACATCTGTAGATGGAGCTTTATCTGTGGACGAGTTCACAATGCACCGTTAATGCTAGGTGGCAAGTTATTGTTATCAGCTCAGCAGCAATTGAAGTGTCATCTTTGAGACGTAGGGGACCCTTTTTGAGCTTAGGTAGGATTGTAGAGACTATTGTACTGTAACCTAAATTGAGGAGTTGGAGAGAAAAAAAGCAGAAGGAACATCAATGGAATTGATTTACAATCCCTTTTATCTTGCATCAGAGCAGGTAGAAATCACACAATCTCTGCTCACTGCACAACACCAATGTCATCCAGATCAATAGAAACTGACCCCTGTACAAAAGGGTTTTGGTTGTCTGGATGTATCCCCATTGGGAGAACACACTGTCTGGCATTGCATTTTCTCTACAATACCTTTGAACGCAAGGCGCAGTCATCCAGCAGCAAAACTTTTACATTTCACAGCACTCAAACCACCCACATATATGTGTGTGTGTGTGCGTGTGTGTATAAATTCATTGTAGGGAGCGTTTCTGCACCTTAACGCTGCTTTCAATGACTACAAAAAGCCACTAAGATACCATTAGTGTGGAGTTAATACTGTTTGGTGAAATCATGTTGCAGGAGGTAGCAGATGAAAATAAAACCGTACAAACACTCCAAAAATGTCCCTTTTTGATCAGATTTTTTAAATCTTTGCAATACACATTTGCTTTTTTTTGTAGTCTGCCAATTTTTTTTCTTCCTGTTGATTTCATAGTTGTGTAGCTCGGACTTAATATGCCTGAACAGTGTGTAGGACATCCAGCTTTGGCCTGTGTCTTTAAGTGCCATTGCAATATTAAACATATTTCAAAATAATTTCGAGTTAGAAATAATTAATGAGAGATTTAAGACTGCGTGCTGAATCTTCACACTAGCATTAGCTTCAGCTCATGTAAAGACGCCAATCTTCATTTCAGAAATTAATGATTGCCAGGCCAAAGCTATATGTGAAATCTCTGATTAATTTCTCTCTGCCATGAATGACACACACATGTCGTTCAAGAGGGTCTTTTTTTTGGGAAGTATATGTCCAGGAACTAAAAACTGGACATGCTTTGAATGCAATCGTTTGAAGGCAGAACCTAAACCTCATGCCTTAACCTGATCCAATTACCATCCAATAAAGGCCACAGTCAGAGGCAGAAACTTTCTTGTGATGCAATGCTTTTTTTGGGGGAAAGATACAACTTGTATCACAAAGCTTAGTTTCATACAGTTTAGAGAGGAATCGGAAAATGGATATTTCCTATGTCCTAGTTATCCTAGTTATACTTCATATATGTTTGAATACTTTACTGTGTCTACTTTTAGTAAAGGTTTCATTTCAGCAAGAGAAAGCCAAACCATATGTTGCATGTGTTGGCACTGTAAAAGAGTCAAGCAGCTAAACTGTATTGTTTTAGCTCGCAAAAATAGGAAATCCTTTTAGCTTCAAAATTACAGCAGCTGATCTTAGTTTCCAAAAGCCTACAGACTGTTCTTAAGAAGTGATGCAACACTGCTGTAAACATGCCTGTCTTTGAATTTTATAGTACAGCATCCACATAAAAATGAGAAGAAACATAACCTTTTGCATTAAACAGATTCTATTAGATTCAGCATTCAGCACATTTTTTTGTTGTAGCAATAAAGTCTATCTTCATCAACATAAAGACAGACCACTGAAAACATGTGGTACTAACTGCATGTGCAGATGTATTCATACCATGTTGGTTTTAACCCATGTGTCAAACTCGGACTGACACATTCCATTCCAAGTAATTAGGCCCAACTTGTTGCTGAATTATTCACACACAATTTTATCAATGTCTTTAAAATCAGCTGGCATAAAGAAAAGGGAGAAATCTGCATTTCAAAAACACCAAATGAAGCAAGAAGACATGTAGACAGGATTTCATCTAAAAGGATCGAATATTTAGGAGCCCCCCTGTCAGAAAATAGACACAAGGCCAACAGAAATATCTTGCTTGAAGGTTGTTTCACTAATGGCAAGGCGTTAATTAACTGAGGCATTTCTCTAGACAGGATGCTCCTCTAAACAGGCACAAAGTGCCACCACTTGATGACGAAGCCTGCTTTTTTTTTTAAGACTAGCGGATGAGTTTTCCTGACATGTACCTCCTCGGTGTCAGGATAATCAGCTGAGACGCTGACTGAGAGGAATCCATCCACAGAGGCCCCCACCGCCGCCTTCCTTCTTGACTTTTTCACTTCAGAAAATTTGCTAATTTTTGACTCAGTGATTTGTAGCTGCGCACCTTTCCCCTCAAGTGTACCCATCACAGGCTCACAAAACAAGGTCTGCATGGCGATGAGGGGTGAGTGCCTCCCCGAGGAGACGGAGGGGATAGAGGTGTCACACTCAATGAGGCCAGACTCTCTGTTTGTGGCGCCGGCGCGCGTTTACTCGGCAGCCATTTAGCCAGCTGCGGCAAACTGCAGGTAACATATGGATGTTTCAGGGCCCGGGCTCCACTTGAGCTCCCCAATGCCGCTGATGATGGTATAATGATCATCACCACGGTAACATATAGCCAGTACACCCCACATCGGGGTAAGCCACGGGTAGTTAACTGTCATTGTTGTATGGATGGATGGCTGAGCTGCGTTCCAGAACAGTGACAACATACGCTGCTTTGTGCGCCATTCAGCGCTGCCAAGAGTAACTGGAGGCATCTGTAGCTGCTCTGCATTGCTCTGATCCTCATCTGCCCGCTTATGAATATCTATGAGAGTAGATCCAGTGTCTGTGGGTGAGAAACCGGGCTAATGAAGACGTTCTGCGGTGTTAATACGTCCATGTTTTCTCATATCTCCACCACGGCTGTTAGTTTATTGATGTTAAACATGTCCACATCATTAAGAGCGGTGCCTTTTCTTTAGATCCGTCCTGTAAATGGTAAGGTGTGAAGCGGAGAGGAATCTTAATCTGCATCCCAACGTAATTGGCCCCTCTCATTAAAAAATGCTTCTGCACAACATTAGAAGTGTAATCAGTTAGAATCTTGGCTCAACAGAAAAGTATATTGTCTTTTGTATGCTGAGTATTGTATTGCCTTTGCTATGGAATCCTGTGCCTCTTGGCTGATTGGGAATTCAGCCATGTTTTGTGCATCTTTTTTGCTCGGGTAGCTCCATCTGGTCCTGGCACTGCTGTGCTTTGCCCCTGCCCAGGAGTTGTGCATCCCAACTATGTGCTGGCAATTAGTAGATATGTTGGCAAGGCGTCAGGCCACAGTGTGACATTCTCCCCCGGCTTGTTGACTGGATGTGGGCTGTGTGAGTGTCCAGATGTGTATGTATCTGTGCGTCTTTATAAAATGATTTCACAAAAACAACCCGTTTTAATAAAAAAAAAAGACATTTTCTTAATGTTCTATAATATTACATTTAAATTAGATTAGTCTCAGTACAATAATTTGGCTACAACAGTCTCAGTCATATAGTAGAGAAGAAGTCACCAATATGTTCTCACTTTTGGACATCCAGGGTTTCTCCAGCTGGTAATTTGCCAGTTGCTGGAGGGTTGCCAAGGCAACAAAGCCTATCTTTTGAAACTCCCCACCAAATAAAGCATTTATTGCATAATGTAACACCCAACTGTGACTTTTGCCTAACTTAACCACATAGGAAAACAAAGGATATCAAAAGAAAAAAGAATATAACCATTTCAGGAGAAATCTAACACGTCTAACAAGTCTCTCCTTGGGAGCTGGATGTCTGGGAGAAAACCCATCCAGGCACAGGGAAAACTTACCAGCTCAACTCTCACATGACAACCTCTGCAAATGTTTCCAGTTCAGACTCACATAAGTCACTTAGACAAGATTCTCATCCACACAACAAGATTTGTCTTGGTTTCAGTTAGCATTATTTCAAATACAGAGGGCTTCTGAAAGAAAGCCACAATGTTGAGTGGATATTGGTTTCATGCCTTTTTTAATGTTCATTTGGCGAGTGTTCTTGCATATTGCCAATGAATCAGAGTGTGTGTGGATCTCCATCATTTCCTATTATAGACGATAACCATCCCTGCCATAGAGGATGTATGCTTTTGCACTGGGACTGTATGTAAGGGCTGTGTTATGTGAAAGCACCTTACACAACATCCTTTTCATAGTCATATGGCTGACTGCCAGGCAACATTTATTTTTAAAATATTCATCATTTTTCTGTTATCGCGTCTGTTACATTTTCTTTTATAAGTGGAACAAGAAGTTAAACAGGCAGAAAAATGGTTGTCAAAACCTTTGATTTTTTTTCATGAAGAGAATGGTTTCATCCAGTTTTTCATACAACATTAAAGGCATGTGTATGTTTGTTTTTTTAATCGAAATTGTTTGATTTGCCAGTCAGTCGGATCATTGCACGTATCCGTCCAAAAGTAATTTGAATGGTTATTTATTTTTATTTTCATCTCTGGATGTTTGGGGACTGTTTTCTTTACACATAGGTTGTGTTTAAGTCAGGTTTGCTCCGAGTTGAATAACAGGAAACTGTCATTCGGCCTCAGTCATTTCAACTTTCATCCTGATGTCTGTGTTTTTCAGGGTTGACATGGCAGGATGACATCACTCAACAGGTCATCTCCAGAGAGCTTTCAAAATTGAGGAATATACCCCTCCGCCACCAGAGCTCACCCCAAAGCCCCATGACTGCATCTAGCAGTTCCAGAAACTGGAAAGTGAGGCCAGCGCAGGCGGAGCTGAGCAGGAACCTTGAGCAGTACCTGACAGGGCTGGGTTTTTTACATCACACCCAGATAGACCAGCAGCCAGGACTCCAACGAGAAGGAGGCAAGATTCAGGTGAGAGACAAATTCCCTGTGAACAAGCTGTTAAAAGAAAAATCATTGGCCTTGAAAGATTAAACAAAGTGTGCCTTTGTGATGTCTGTGATGTCATCAGGGTTTTCATGGCTTGGACTCAAGAATTGAAATATTTAAGGGAGCTTGCATTACACTTTTAAAACATTCGGTTTGAAAAAAAGCGGGCATAAAAAAACAGCATGGGGTCTTATGAAAAGGTGTTTGTACATGGATTGTGGGGAATGTTCAATGGGACCTGGTGATTTAAGAGCTTAGCATATATTAATCTTTTTGCTGCTTTTTAAGTCTGAACTGGCTCAACTTTATAGAAGTCCCAAATGTAAATGTATTCAATATTTTTGCAAAAGTAAACAAAAGAACATCACATTTTCTCTGCCTAAGTCATGAAAGGACCTCTTCCTATTAACATTGACGAAGAGTCATTATCTTCCTTTCGCTTGGGTTGCCCTCTCATCCCCACTCTGCTTTTGTTTCTTGCTTTCTGTCCCCTCTCCTTCCCACTGTGTATGGACTCTCTTTACACAAAAGTCTTCCATCACTCTTTACATTATTCAATCTTCATATTTGGGGTGGATGCCCTGCTTTGTCCTCAGAGCTCTTCATAGCTGAGCCGCTTCCTGCTGCTGTGTCAGTAAAGCCATAATGCAAAGTTGAAGAGTTCAGGACCGTCCGTATTGATGAAATGAGGTCTTTTGTTGTGTACGGTGATTGAAAGAGGCAAACATGGTTAGAATGAATGGCAGAGCACCTCTTTCTTGCTGTGCTAATGCCATTATGGCCTCTCACTATGCTGGGTTTGCAAAGACTGACATTTTCTCTATATACGTTTGAAGGACAGAAAATGGCACCGAGGGAGAGAACTAGTATTAGTGCTGCAGCGACATGGATAATAATGCTATTCAGTGGATAGGATATACCGTATGCTGTGTGCGTGGGCCCTTATGAGTCAGATGGGAAGAATGATCCCTCATCCTCACAGAGAGAAGAAAGGACAAAATAACACAGTGGTGCCAGAATGGACTCCAACTAAAAAGCCAAATGGTTAAAAGCCCTCCAAATGCCTGTGTATGCATCAGAACATTGTAATGCAAATACATTATTCATCTTGTGTGAAATATAAACTCATACAGCTAACTTTATAATCAGGTGACTCATATTTTTCTATTTAGATAAGGGATTGATGCTCCTTCTGTGACAGAGGGAATATGCGTTTAAAGTTTGTGGTGTGTTTTGGAAATGCATGAAATTACTCTTTGAGTGACACTATCTCATCCAGGATTTCCATAATGCAATTTCCAAGGGCAGTTGTCTTTGATCTAGAATCCCTATTCATATCCTGTCCTGTCACGTCGGGCCCAGGTTGCTTCTCTTTTTTTATTTAAAAGCCTGTCACAGCGATGCTGACCCAGTGAGGCCCATTTGATGTTTCCATGGAGCGAAAAGCTGCTGTATAGCTCAGACTGCAAATGTATCAGAGAAACGTTGTTGCGTTACCTCTAAAGCTATGTAAAGGAAAATGTACAGAAACAGCTGTGACTAACATGCTGATGTTTACATGGTCCTATTACAATAGTGGCCTGCTATCATATCTGCTGTCAAAGCCCAAATGGACCGACAAGTCTCATTAATGGTGCAATATTAAAAAAGAAAACATGTTAGAATTTGGGCATGCTTAGAATAGAGTTAATAATAACTACATTTTATTTGTAATTTTCTCTTATTAATCGCACTGATATTTTGAGTTTACTTTAAGAAATACAGAGATCTTGTTTTTTAATAAAAGAAGCAGACTTCACAAGCAGATAGACATCCCATCAAAAGAGAATATGGAACTGTGAACATTGCTTTCTACATATGTAACATCCTTCAAATGTGACAAAGTGGGGATTTTGTGTTGTAGAATGAAGACATTAGGCCTCTCAGTCCATCGGAGACCAGCCGATCAAAGCCCAAGCAGGCCTGGAAGGAGACTACCATCTACAGCCTTCAGAAAGGAGCTGGCCAACCTCCAGTCACTAAAGTTGTTTCCCAGGGTGGTGAGGGCAGACACCCAAAGCTAAGTACAACCCACTCCAGCCAGGAACCAGACAGGAACAACCTCCTCTCCAAACACCTGGAGCGGATTCTTGCCGGGGCACCATCCTCTCAGCGGGGCGTCCCGGGCGGTGAGGCTGTGTGGCCCAAAGGAAAACTCCACTACATCAACTACATTCAGCCAGCTCAGAGTGAGCTCGCAGAGCCACAGACTCCAGTTGCTTTTGGCTCCAAAAGTGCAAAGCCTAATCTGGACAGGCTGCTGTTCAAGGCTGGCTCAGGCAGACTCGATGCAAAGCAGCCTCTTGGTGGCATAGATGGTAAGATTGGCAGGTCGTTGCTTTTTCATTCTGTGGCCTTTGCTATTTATTATCTACTTAAATGTCATTGTTTTCTTTTTTTAATATAACCGTTTATTGTCTTTTTTCCATTCTCTGATCAGACCATTTCATCTCTAATGCTGTGAATCAGCTGGGGAGGCACAGCATCGACATGGACGCTTTGATGGGCAAAGACCTGGACCAGCTGGCCGGGGTCATCACAGGAGCCCTGCTGGAGCTGGATGAGAAGCAGCCAGCACTTGGAGCTCAGCCAAAACCAGGAGGCACTGACTCCAGGGGGGAGATGGAGGCTAACTGGGAGCCACCAGTGGCCTTGCATCAGAATCAAAACCAGAACCTGAAATCAGATGAAGGGCAGGATCTAAACCAGAAATACACTCTGAAAATGAAACAACAAGGTTTGTTTTTTGCGGTAGACAGAAAAAGAATTGGACTTAATAAGAGAAGCTGAATGAGTTATGTGTAATAGATGGAACAGTACATGGCATTGTACGTTTTTAAATGCTTGAACAAGGCTTTGTTTTTGTAATCCTCACTCTAAATGATGCCAAATGTATTTTCATAACTGTTTTCCATTGCTAAAATACAAAAGTTAACCTCGCTTTTCACACAATCTGCTCACGTAGGCTCTCTGTTGTTTCCAGGCCAACAAATGGACGGTGCAGACAAAGAGTCCATCGACAAGGTGAATTCCAAATTATTCTGCCATCAACAAATTAGTTTCTAAGGGAGTGAGAGATGTCTAAACATTTATTCACTTTTAAATGCTACTTCAAACGGTAATGATTTGAAAATTGCACAGCCTATCATTTACTTTTAAATCATCAGAGCTTGAAAGACAACTCCTAACTGCAGAATTTTTCAAATGTCGACAATATTTCCACTGAATAGATCAGATAACTCCTTTGACTGTGATTTAGTAAAACTTAAAAGAAAAAAAAGGTTATCATTAGACCTTGAAACAGCTCTCTGACTCAGAAATGGTGGTGATTCAACACACATTCATGCATTTTCCAAGACAGGAATTTCTAATTGAACTTTTAAGTTAAGAAACAAGACAAAAAATAAGATGTCATGAACATTGAGTAGAAAAATGTCCCTAGTGTTCTAATTAAAATTTCCCCTTGGCTCAAAACAGCATTCAGCCTTCTTCTCCAAGCTACTGGACTACCTCAACATGGAGTCATTTGGTGATAAACCCCGCATCAACGGTGAACCGCCGGCTCCTCCACAGAAAATGGTGGGACTGGAAAACGTCCACAGCCACACAGTGCAGGGCCAGGTTTCTCTCCCTCACCTATCAGAGGAGAAGACCCTGACCCTCCCCGCAAAGGAAGGGACCACCCTGCAGTTGACCGGCACAGCAGAGGGCCCCGGTGCACAGGTGGACTCTGAGATTGAGAGGTGGATGCAGGGGGATCAGGCACCAGCAGGGAAGAAGGAGCTGGATGAGCCACAGAAAAAGGACATGAAGATTAAAACCCAGCTGGTCCACGTGGGAGTGAAAGAGTTTTCCAGCAGAGGAAAGGACAGACACTTTGGCTATATTATTACTGGCTCAGAGTAAGTATAATTCAGTTTTAAATGTGACACTACAATGCAGTGTTTATCTGTATGTAAAGCACAGGGACAAACACAGAAAAGGAACACAATATACACAGACAACCGCGTTACAAATGAAGAACAGATATTACATGAAGCATTATCTCTGATTGTGTCTGTCATTTGTCAGCACAAACAAAGTCATTCCATAAGAGTACGGTTGCGCTTTTCCCAGACCAGCCTCCTGGTTGAGATATCTTTCCAAGTCACTGGACAAGGGTACATGTACATTTTTAAACCTTTATAATCATGATCTTGTAGATATAAGGTTACAATATGAACATAAAATGTTTAAAAATTCAAATGTTAAAACACAGATCTTTGGAACTTGTATTTTTTAAGTTCCAGTTTTTTTTTATTACTAGTTGCATGTAAAAGCCAATCGCAATCTCTGGATAGCATGATATCTCATGATATAACTGACAGACCCACATTTAGAGCCATGACACGTGTGACATTGCACTGATCAACACGGTTTACCGCTCTGTGCAGTCTTTTTGCATCAATCCCACCACACATTAGTGAAACCGTGGTGATTGGCTCACTCCAGGCAAGGTCTTTTTGAAATCTCTTTTGCATGAGCAAATGAAATGTGAGGTTTCAGTTGGCACCCAGAATATCTATCTGTCATATCTGATGTTCTGACGTGAACCAAGACCTGGAGAAGAAGCAAACTGATACTGTTATCTTGGCTGGTTGTGATACCATGGAGGTCTGGTCACGTACAGCCGTAAAACCTTATCTATGATTTGACTGCTGAGTTCTAATCAAATTTATATGACTTAGTTTATGTTTTAGTAATTGCCAAAGAACGCTGAATTCTGATGAAAATAAAGCAGAAACAATGTATTCAAATTGCAGGAATGTAAAGCATCATATTGGGCTCGATATTTCCCACTTCTTTTACTTTAAATTATGTGTAGCAGTGTTCCATACATATTAAATCTCTGCGTTCCTCCGCTCAATTTTAAAGCTGTCTGGTTTGATAGTGTGGCTCATAGCTGCTTCATTCTGTAGGTGATTACACCATGTATAGGTCTGGATCGAGTTCAAGTCCACTCATTTTTAAGCCTAGCACATGTCTGGATGTTTGATTACTTGCAACTTCCTTCAAATGGGGCAATTTCTGTCAAAGCCTCCTACACAAGACCTTCTTTATGTAAAGCGATGCCGTAGGTCGAATTCTTAAGTGTTACTGATTACAATAGCATGCATGATAAATCCTCTGGCGTGTGAGTATTACTGTGCTGTATTATAGTTTTAATGATGATCCTTTGTGAGGATGGGTGGCCAAGATCTCTGCCTCTCTTCTCTCTTACCGCTCACTCTGTTCGGTCTCAGCGCAGATAAGTTCCTATCGACTGTGTCTTTGCCCCTGGCGCTGTCTCAAATCCCTTTATGGCATTATCAAGTCCAGTGTCAGTGCGTTGTCCTTCACCTGCTCAACACGCGAAGGACCATAAATGCCCGATATGGGTTCAGTGGCCGTCTCCTTATTGCCGTACAAATAGGAAGAGCAGATTAACAAAAACAAGTGAGGATGAGCCAGGGGAAAGAAACAGGTCACCTTCTGAGTGAAATATATTCCCCTCCTCTTCCTTGTCTGTCCTCAGTCCACCTAACGGACACCTATAGTTGGCCTATGGAGGTGTGCCTGCATTTGCTACACCTCATGATTGCACAGTTGTTATCCCTCAGCTTCTTCGCACCTGCAGTGAGGCTACCTAAACCTGCTTATCTGACAGCTCCTGACATTGTGGCGGCGGTAGTGGGAGGAGGACGGGCTGGCATGTGTGGAGAGGGAAAGTGGAAAGGTATGGATTGAGGAGAAAGAGACAGAGAGATACCCAAGGGGAAAAGTGCTAGCATCAACAAGCAAGTCACTCCTGGAGCTCTCCAGTTGCTAGAATCACAACAGAGAATTGCAAACGTGTCTGGAATTGCTTCGGCAAAGCTTTAAATTTCTAAATCCCATGAAAAGTAGAGAAATAAACTCCCACACTCTCAAAGGTGAGGTGAACCAGGTATTAACATACAATACAATGTTTCTTGTTCTAGTGAAGATACTCTGCTGTAATGTGGTGCCAAACACAGGCTGAACAAAGCATGTCTACATACTGTAATTCTGACGTGAATATGTCGAAAGAGAGTCTCCAAGAACAACTCAAGACTGCAATGAGCACGTCCCAAAAAAAACAAAAAAACAGAAGTGATATTAAACTCAATACTCAGTGCTCTATGAAATTGTTTTCTTGTTTATTTCAAATTTCTCTGCTATAAACTGAAACTAAATTTCAAGGAGGTCTCATCAAAACCCAAGACTTTTTGGTGCATGCCACCTGGCAGTCACTTGGCAGTGATTCTCGGTGATTCCAGGTTAAGCCTGCAGCGGTAAAGCAGCTTTCTGAATGTGGATGCCCTTTTCTTTCCAGCGTACAACGCACTGGCCGGCAGATTGCTTTGTTTGGTCTATTTCCTTGACGATTGAGTCTCAGAGTGAGAAAGCAGCTGCAGACTGAGCTGAGATGAGGCATGGCTTTATCAGACCACCATTACACTTCACCTCCATTCCATTTGCACCTTATTATTCTCATCTCTCTGTGAGGGCGCGTGCGTGCCGTTGTGTTTGTGTGTACGCTACGTTTTCGTGTTTTACTTTGAGGCCACACGCACGCGAGGGAGAAACTCAGTGCAGAAGAAGAAGAAAGATGAGAGGAGGAAAAGGAAAGAAAGGAGTGTCTATATGATACAGCCATTACACCTCATGCAGGTTCCATTTGCACCTTATTGTTTGTCTCATTGCTGGAAAAAAGCAGGTGATTTCGCAAGCCTGGAGAGGCAGCTGATCCCTTTTCTCTTGGCACAGTGCTTTGTGTGTTTGTTTGTGTTTGAGTGTGTCTGTCTGCAATGTGCAAATTTGTGCAGTACATCCATTCAGACAACCATAGCTTTTGCTTGTGTGCAATGACCCATTTGCAGGAATGAATTGTGGCAGCATCACCCTGAAAAAAAGAATTGTATTTTAACGCCTGAAAATTTGTGTTTATGCTGCATGGATATAGGCCTCCAGAACTGACTCCTAGCTGTGTCGTGTCTCTTCCAGCTCCCTCACCAATGACCAGGGCTTGGATCTGATGAAGCATGTGACCCAGAGACTCAGTCTCCATGCCGAGGACCTCACTCAACTCTCGTACGTGCACACACAACTATCCTACTCTGTAACAAATACTTCATTACTCTGCAGTCTGAAAACTACACTTGGTCACAGGATAATTGGTTTCATTTTAAAGCATTTGAAACAACCTTGTTTGGTGACTTTGGGCAGAGGAAACAAAGTGAAGGTTGTCCAGTCGCTGCAAGGAGTGTTTGTGTGTGAAAGTGCAGTGCCACGCTGCTAGTGAGTGCTGGCGTTTTTTTTTTTTAACCTTTTGGAGTGTTTGACTTCGTGCGGTGAGAGAAATCAGCCCTAATTACCTCTAGAAGCATACTGATGTCTGTACTGTATTCAAAACAGTTCCGTGACGCTGTTGTCACTGCTCCCTTTGATAGAAAAAAGAGCTGTCCAGCCATCAAAAACCTCTTAGTTTGAGGCAAAGACAGAGAGCTGAAGGCAGCAGTCGACGCAGAGCTGGAAATGGAATAAACAGTCCAACAGGAGGGGGCTAATATTTTAATGAGCATGCGAACTGTCCTTGAACCGAGGCTGTTTTTTGCTTGTACTGTGGTTGCTCTGTACATTTGGTGTCACAACATGTTCGAGGTAGAGGGGATGTGTTTGCCTAAGATCTGACAAGCCTTTTGAAATTCTCCTGCTGGAAAAAATGGAGTCTGGCTAGCTCAGTAACAGCCGCAGCATATGAACACCAAATTCAGACCACTGCAGTGTGTGGCCTCACTGCAACCGTACAAAAGACTGTACGTAATATTCTGGGTCCTAACAGGGATCTCCAAATCAATCCAACCACAGAAGCATTTTGATGTCTTTATTCAAAACCAACCTCTACATTTAGTTTAGATGAGCCAGAACCCCAAGATGTGCCCTCATGCAGGCACTGTTTCACTTAATTTGGTTAGTACACCTGTCTTTTCACATCACTCAAAGTCAACTCCTGACACGCAAAACACTTAGGCTCGTAATATAAATGCTGATGAAAAGACTATTACTTAGACTATTACTACTTTTTTAACACAGTCGGTTTATTTTTTGCTACCTAGACTAGCTCAGAATAACTACTTTACAGAGTACCGTCATTTTTTTAAGATTCAGTTTTTATATGAGCTCCATCGACATTCTTCACATAGTCCTTTTCTAGAAACTGAATTTGATGTTTCATCTTTGTGTTTTTTGCTTCCATTTTCTTTTTCTATTATACAAAGCAATGGTATTAAGTTAGACTGATGTGGATCATTTGGGAAGCGTTTCACATTAAAGGTTCAGGATATACTAACATCCAGCAGCTCAGTAGAGGAGATTTCAATATAGATAGAGTACTTTAAAATCATAAACATAATAATAAAAATTTAATTACCACTTAATGCGATATCATTCCAATGAAAGCATTGCCATGAGAGTCGTACCCTTAAATGCTACTCACGAGACATCAGGCATTTATGTTTAGATTTAATCTTTGTAAACTGAAGATAGCCTCCGCAATCTAAAAAATGTCCATAAGCCATTGAAAAGACTCCTTATAGCATTATTTCTTAGACCTGATACAAAATGATTTAAGATTAGATATGATTTCTTTGTGCATTCAAGGACACAGTTGAAAGAAGAATTCTTGTATCACAGCTAAAGAAGATAGATGAATAACTGTATATTTTTCTCCACAATATTTGCGTAAGTAAATATCCCAACACGTTGAGGTTGGTAATTCAGTGTAAAAGCCACTGGCAGATTGTGGAATGACGCTCTCCAAAGAACATCACCATGTCTTTACAACTCATTTTTACACAGTTCTATTTAGAAGACCAAGAGAGAGAATTTCTCCTCTCTCACGCTTGTTTACCTCCTTTTCTTTTTAAGTAATAAAAGAGTATTCATGTAGAAATGGCCAAGGCGAAGGACATGACGCAAGCTCTTTGTGCGTCTTTCCGCGTAGTCTCGGCAGGTGAGTATTTGAAAGCCTCCGTCTGAATATGAGTTGGCTGGACTGTGAGAGCTAGGTCGGAGCACACCGCCCCTGTTTTCAAGGCTTCTCTTTTTCAACCAGTCTGATGAGCCCTGATAGCAGGAGAGGAAAAGAGACACTCAAATGTGAGGAGAAGGCAGAGAGGACTTTCAGACAGAGGCTCTGAGAGCAGGGTGCTGGGCTTTTTTCTTTTGAGACTTTCAGGCGTTGAACATGATTATGATCTTCCCCGCTACCACTGTAATCAACAAAAATTATTCCCTTTGAAATGGTAGTTCTGGATGATGATGGGCTAGAACAAGAGAATGCTTCTTTCAAATGACGTAAGTGTTTTACTTGTCAGAAACACTAGGGGGAGTGGGGCACACATTTACAAGTCCATCCTGACACACACGCACTCTCACACACCTCCTGCCAATATCCCGCCAAACAGTCTGCACACACACTCATTATGTCCCACCAGCAGAGCTAATATGAAGTCCAAGCTCACACATCCGATAACAAAGGCGACAGTGTGGAGTCTGCCAGATAACTTCTCTATCTTAACTTCATCTCCCAACTGTGGCTGTGTTTTTTCTTCCACGATGTTTGAATAGCGTTTGTGTTGCTCCACGTCTCTTCAATTTGAGATGCATTTAGATCTCAGACTGTGCCGCATCGGCCGGGGAGAATGGAGGCAGGGGTAAAGATTGTGGAAACATTGACATTTACGAGAACAAACAGAGCCCAGGTGAAGGTGCTAGAGAAGGGCACATTTCCTTCAGAGCCCAGCGTGTGTTTGCGGGTGTGCGCGCCCGTGAGTGGTCATGTTCATAAATGCATCGGTGCATGGTTGGGTCCATATGTCGAACAGTATTGGCTCATATATTGCTCCCAGCCCAGCGAGGGCTGCTGCGTTCGTAGCATGCTGACTGATTACGAGAGGGTTTGGGTCACAGCACTCTGGCAGCCTGATGAATATCCCTTTCTGTCATACAGTCTGCTACCAAGTCCACTGAAATGTGTGTTCTTTTCTAGGGATTTTAGAGATCAGATATAAAGATGCATGGAAAGGTTTTTATGGACTGAAACAAGTAGAATATAAACCATATTGACAGGTACTCACAGTGTTTCCTGCTTCTGGTAAATTATGATCTAATTATTAAGGCAATATTCTGACTTTTTTGTCATTTTATCTCTACAGGTACGGTATCTGGATTGATAACGTCTTCCAGAATCATGTATAGAGATTTTAAAACATACAGTTTCATTCACTTTTTAATTATGTCACTATACTTCTGTCCTAAGCTGTGCACTTCTGATAATTTACCCTTGATGTTTTTTGCATTTATAATAAGACTGAATTTATTTAATATTTATTAGAATTTTTAAAAGAGATAGCCTCACATTTCAAAATATTCTTAAACCCCCTTGATGTGTCCTAAAAACCTCTTCTAACACATAAGGCTAAGGCATTTACATTTGAGAACATCTCAATTTTCCCACCTTTAATCTTTAAGGAAAAATTTGATCTTTCAGAATTAATTGAAAGCAAGAGATACGAAATAGTAGGTTGAATACTAAAGTTCTTACCTTCTGCAACTGATATATTTGACTTGTGAGCAAATTATCAGTTTAGTCAAATCTTATTTTCTATTGGTGTTTCTCTGGCATAAGTTTTAAAATGATAACAAAACTAAATGAAAATGTTGTTGGCATATTGTGGTCTTGTAGACTCTTATTTTAAGGGAGAGTCGTACCAGCTATTATTTTTTCATTGAGCTTTGAAAATAAAATCCCCATTCCAGCATCTTTCTGTGTGAAAATCATTTCATTTGGGATATAGAGGTTGCTGTAGACATGTGTCTGGTTATTTCTTTACACATTGCTGCCCTGTATTCAACCCCTCCCCCAAGACCATAAGAGATTCTAACAGTCTGCTGGGGTTGCTAGATGTTATTTCACGGCCAACCCCCGAGACCTTCAACATTTATTCTGCTCGAGGGAGAGAAGTCTGCCGCTGACTCTTGACCAGAAAGACAGCATTGGGAACAGCAGTTACTGTATGTGACAAGAAACTGTACTTTGGGCCCATCTTGTGACGTAGCTTCGGAAGCTTTTACTCATACGCACATGTTATTTTGTGTAACACTGAGCAGCTGATGTCACAGCGTGTAATTCTATGTTAGACCAGAGCAGAGACTACAGTTTAGCTGGGGGGTGCCATTACTGTGCCTTAGCCAAAAAATGACCTCAACAAAAGTGTAATTGCCTATTTCTGCTTTAGAGACCACAACAGTAGTAAGAATGTGAACTCTAGATCTAGTTTGATCTTAGTGGTACTGTCAGGGACACTAAGTCCTATTTTCTGGTCTTCTGATATTTCAGTCCAGGTTTCTGATATTTCAACCCATGCGCAATACCCATGTAGTCAAACAATTGAGTGGTCATCCACATTATCTCCTCTGGCAACACCTCCTTTTTCTGTGTTGCAGTGTTTTAGGTAAATCAGTATAATTTACTATTGTCACAGGTATGGAGTTACATTTATTTACTTTTGTTTTTATTTGCCATAAGTTGATAACTTACACACCCATAAAGCATCATGTTACTGTCTATCCATTGCTGGGGGTAGAGCCTATCCCAAGTGGCTTTGGGCAAAATGAGAGGTACCTCGGACAGGTCACCAGTCCACTAGAAGGCCACAACAAACAACAAGCAATTGGGAACCCTTTCACTCTGAGGCGACGTAGCTAACCACCACACCACCGTGCAGACCATGTTGCTAAGTAGCCTTTCATTTTTTTAGTACTGCTCAGTGTTGGTTGCATAAATCAAGCTTTTAAGGCATCATGTAGGAACAGTTTTATTGCCTTTCATTTTCCCGATATTATACATGGGGACAAATTGTTCCTGCAGTGAGAATTGGACATAAAAATCATGCCTACAAACAACTCTTCATTTAGCTTATTTATGTTGTCTTTCTGCAGCGTCCTGGGTCCTGCGCTGACGTTCAGAGTCGGCCCAAACCCCAAGAACGTGACCACCGCAGATCTGGTCCAAGTTGCTGGTAAGAGCTGACCCTTTCTTTTTTGCGACCCTCTCCCAATCATCCTGTTGATTCCCTTCATTGCCATTCGTCTCGTTTTTACAAACCAGATCACTCTGTCAGTGTCTGGGCATCAGTAAATGAGAACACGGATTAGTCTCTCCAGATACAGTAGATAGGCCTGTGTTCATCATGTTCAGACAAACCCCTGTCTCTAAGAAGATTATCAACACTGTGCGATGACAGATGACCGTCAATTACAGGGATGCTGAGCCAAGTACGCGTGCTTCCTGCTTCTAAGTACACACACACACACACACACACACACGCGCGTGCGCACGCTCGTACACAGCGCCGTGACTGGTCAGCTACAGCGTCCAGCAGCTGACAGGTTGAAACAGGTCGGGACTGGACGATCAGTCAGACCCAGGACCGCTGTACGCCTGCATGCATGTACTTGTTTGATGTAGACTGATGGAGAGCTGTCAGCCGCAGAGAGGAGGTAGTCAGTATGCATGGCCTCCGCTCTCCTCCTCATTGTCTGCTCTCTGGTGAGCCCGCCATCGGCATTAGCGTGTGCGTGAGGTGTATGCTGGATGTGTGTCCATGTCCTTGCTTTTGTCGGAAATGACTTTGAGAAAAAAAAAAAACAGCAATACGCCCGACAGTCAATATCATCCAATATCAGGCCAGTGGAATCAACATGATGGTGTTGTTATTGGCAGAAATGTGTTGCTGCTCTACTTTTTCCTGTGCAATGACATTTTTTGGCATCGGTTTGTTTCCTGTTTGGGAGATGCGAGACAATAGCTGCTGATACAGATTTACTGGAGAAAATAATCTTTTGATCTGCATGTCCCTCAAAATTAAACATGTATTACGAATATTTGCTACTGAATGAAAAAGTTGAATTTTAAATCTTTTAGTATTTTAAACGTATGATATAAAACATCAAACATTAAAATTGAAACATGTTAGTGCTTATTGAAAAATGTCAACTTGTATTGAACTTCACGTGGCCTCAACCTGTCTCAAAAAGTTAAAATGGTGGCAAAACTCTTGCAGCTCATGAAGTTAATATGCAACAGGTAAATAAAATGTCTGGCCATAAAAAAACATCTTTTAGAGTTAGAGTCTCTCAGAAGTAAATATGGGCAAAAGTACAGCATCCTGTGAAAACAATCTAAAAACAATAAGTCTTTTCCAGGCCTTACATATAACTGAAAGACAACCCCAAACCCCAGACTGGACATCTGACAACAGCATGTCTCTGTAGTAAAGGAGTCCTGGAGCTGGACAGACCCGCCTGCTGGTTAGACCTTTCACCGACTGAAAAGATTTTCAGAATAAATGTAAAATACAACACAGTCCCAGAACTGCTGAGCAGCTAGAATTCTTTATCAGGCGAGACCCCGTTTCTTTCATGCCTTTTCATGTGTCCTGCGTGTGCAGAGGCACAACAGAATCAATGTTCTGCCACAGGTACGGCAGGGAGGAACGTTGGAACAGAGGTGAAACTGATCCATGCTTATACATACTGAGCATTCATCTATCACAAGGCCATATAGAAACAAACAGGCACGCATGCACACTCACTCCTATGGACATCCTTCCATGAGCCCAGTATGCAGCCATTTGGACCATCCGAGGAAGTTGGAACACCCAAGAGAACCCGCATATACAGGCAGAACACACAAACTCCACACAGAAAGGTCCCCAGACCTTCTGGGGATTTGAACTGAGATGGGACGCAACAGTGCTAGCACCCACACCACACCATCACGCAGCCTCCTTTAACATGCAGCGCGGAATTTGTGGTTCCGTTGTCACTCAGCTGATTCGTTGTGTTGCCTTAATGTGCTAAAGGTCACGCACATGTGAGGCCGAGCCTCCTGTGTTTGGTATTTGTGAATTAAGAGGACAAAGCAGCAGTGGTAGGACGAGGATGGCCCACAATATGTAAATGAGGCTAAGAATTGGATAACATTGTTCTCTCAAATGTCCAACCCATCATTTTCCAGATGTGAACGAGCCCATGTGAGCAGAAGAGGTGATTGCTCACATTACATTTTAGATGAGCAGTCAAACAGCGAAAACACATTGGATGTATTTTTTCTGTATTTGACTGTGAGATTGGTCAAACTTTTATCAAATTGGTTTTGTATAATATTATCTTGTACAATTTCTTGTTCTTTTTCTTTCCAACCTCTTCATCTCTTTTTTGTTCCTCGTGGCTTGTGTGGCTGACTTTGATGAGGTTGCGTGTGGTGAGAGCTAATGACAGACGTGAGCGGGGCTGAAATGTCAAACCAAATGTTATGTCAACATGATCATGAGCCTGACCCATGTTGATGAATTATGAATACAGCCCACCTGAATAGTAATGTGTAAAAAAGATGGGAAGGGCTTCTCATGGTTTCAGTACTTTGCACTTAAATTCCAAAATATATGCATCTTGCAACTGTAAAATATATCAAAACTGCCTCACCAACGGGTTGTATCTTCTTTCTGTGGAGGTTCATGTTTTCTACCATTGACCTCGGATCAAATTCAGCGATTCGTTTTCTCTCTTGTGCTCCCTCCTTCTCTGCTGTACCCTGGACTCAGTGCAAATTGGACTGGTCTTCCCACCCTCCTCCTGATCTTCTAAACAGTGTCAACTGAATTCCTTTCCAGCTATTTTCAAGCTCCAAAAGGGGACTAAAATGACATGACATTGAATTCAATGTGATATGGCAAAGGCGTGGTGATTGCAAAGTGGTTACCAGCTTGTGGAGGAACAGAACGGTTTTAGTGCAGTCTGAAAATCAAACTGACACCCACATGCAGTGGCCACCTGGGTAATCCTGGCTGACCTTTGCCTTATGTGTGACTGTGCATAAATGACGTGGCCTCCTAATGAACTCATCAAAACCCCTGCTGCACGCTGTACTCAGCATCCTGCAGAGAGCCCCAAACACGGAGCTTAGCAGCAACTGAAAACCAAATCCGAAGAATTCATAAACCCCAGCTAAATAATAACCATTAAACATATCTTCTGAAGCATTTATTGTCTGCATAGGGTATTGAATCTGAATTCCACTTTTGATGAGTTAGTCTAAGCAAGTATGCTTTTCTACATGTTTTATTCTCTTTACTCACTCTGTCAAAACTAAAACTTTTTTTCACAGAATATAAATAAGAAGCTTAACTCAGAGCTGTAAATGATCAGTTTGCCTCTTGATGCTTTTTATTGCTTTTAATTTTTTGCATTTAATTTGATCTTTAAACAAATCTAAAACCCTGGAATTAAAAATAATTTGGTGGTCAATCCATTATCACAGTTGCAACTGTTTATTTTTTTGTGCTTCCTAACAAATCATTGTGTCAGCACTAACTAGGATAATGGATATCTTCTATAAGATAGGCTTAAATAATAGAAATGCCTTTCACAAGTTCTCAGAGTAAAGGTGTATTGTATTTAGAACCTCCACTGGTGTTACCTTGACTGTACCCTTTAGCATCTGAAAGAGATTAATAAGGCTCTGCTACATTCTGCTGTCCATCTATCTGCCCATCAGTCCCATTTGATGTGTTCAATGCTCCATTCAAAAGAATAGACAAAAAGACTTGCTTGAAAGGCATGGACAGTATAGAGGAGATTTGATAACTCATTGAAAAGCATCTTTAAGGCAGCAGGTTCTTAGCGGCTGTGTGGTGAAAGGCCTGCTGGGAGGTCTGACTGTATTATTGGAGGTAGAGGCTCTTGTGTTCTGCTCAACTGGAAAACCGCAGGACAAAGACCCGCACCGCCTAATCCCTGCTCGGCTGCAAAACAAAAGAGAAAGCTGCTGCTTTATCAAAACTACAAGACATTCTGTGTGTCCGTGTTTGTATGCGCGTGTATGCATGTGTGAATGTTGCTTTGTTTTGTTGTTTTATTTTTTGTGTTGTCTTTTTGTTTTTTTTGTTTTTTTTTGCAGCTGTGTTCATACTGTGCCAAGAAAATGATTTATTCAATATTTGATGAAGTGGCAGCCAAGCTGTTAAAACCACTGTTGGAATGTTATGTTTAAAACTCCACTTTTCCACCGTCTTGCTTTCTCTCTGTGGTTTCTAAACATGTAAATCACCCTCAGTCGGGAGAAAATTGATCTGCCAGAGCTGCTTTTGCTCACTGTGAAGTGACGTTTTGTAGCTGATGATGGATTTGATCCACTTACACGTTTGTGCTCTTCACAGCGAGTAGGTGGATTTATGTGTTGGGAGGGTGTTTTTGCTTCATAAAGTGTTATTGTATAATTATGTCCTGCCATTTTTTTTTTCTATTGATTATATAAAATGTGTTTTCATATTTTTTATTATAACCTTGCTGAAATGTATTGAAGTGTTAAGTGTTAAAAATCTAGGCCTGATGACTTACAGATTGTGTGCCCACTCCGGGGTTGTCCAGCTTGTATAAGTGGATGTGTGTGTGCTTAGACCGGCTGTAGGTGGTGGGTGGGAGCTGGGTGAGGACACTCCTATTGTCCTGGCTGTCACGCCTAGGCGACCCCAGAGGCCCTCAGAGCCCCTAAGAGGCCTCAAAGGCCCCAGAGGCCATGCCAAAGCAATGAGTCCACAAGCCCCCAGGCCGTGAGAACCCCAGCCCTGGTCAATGAGAGCCAGGATCCTTGGGACCTTGGGAGCAACTTGCTGGGCCATCTGGATCAGAAAGCAGAGACCCCGACACACGGCTGTCACCCGAGGGAGACTTGAACACAGACAATGTCGGACCCCATGTTTCCGCCTCTGCTTCTGTCTTCTGTCACTCACTCACAGAGACACACACACACACACACATGTGTTTATATATGCATATTTACACACACATTATATCAAATGGTAGGAAAAAAGAAAAAATCAAAGTCGCAAGCGAGAAGAGAAATGGTAAGAAATACTGTAAGTAGGAAGATAACATCAACCTGTTTATGTACATCAAAAGTATGTGTTTATTTTTCTGAGAACCAAAAAAAAACCCTAAGAGGACAAATTAAAAAGCTCAAATCCTCCAACAAAAGCTGAAGATGAAAAACCTAAATAAAGTAAATGGCGAGCTAATTAGGAGAGGAGCTTATGAAGCCACTGAAGCCACTCAATCCTCTGCAACACAGAGACAAAAAACACAAGTGTACTTTTAATTTGTGAAACTTGTCAGCTAAGAGTTGTATCTCCTCATATTTATCATTTACAAACACATTATTATGCGTCGTACTGCAGCATGTAAAGTTTCGTATTCAGGCACTAAAACTACTGTCTGTATAGACGATGCTGTGTTATGATGTTTTGATTGTGTTCTTTGTGTAGCAGTAGCTAGATTTGCTGTGCAATTACGCACAGCAAAAGACAGTCATTTCCTTTTTACTAAGTAGTCACAAAAGCACTGTTGCTTCATTTTTAACAGCCCTTGGGGTTATGGCTCCCCAGGAATTGGTTTGATTCTTGTTACAACTACTTATCTTTAAAGTAGCTTTCTTTTAAGTAAGATTCATCACTGTTTGATTTCAATTTAGCTTGTTAAAAACAGCATAATTGGGGTTTGAAAGTTTTCGTGACTAGTTTGTTAAAACAGACACTAATAAAACATATGACATTAAAATATTCTGTTCCTGGGTGACCCGTTGACATACTGGGAAAGTCGCGCTTCACGTTTTCCTATGAGACCAAGTTGGCATTTGAGCACTTTGAACCTCTCAGTTGTGAGAACATCCAGGTTTTCCGCTCCTGAATTGTCCATGCTCCTTAAAACTTCTCCAGAGTGACAGAGGAAATCTGAGTCTGCATTACCCTTGTTTTTGCATTGTATGTTGAATTTTTATAGTTTGCGTCACTTCAATTCTGTGGCATTCTCCTGACCTCAGGGGCTTTGTTTGACACACCCAATCTGATCAAACAGCCCTATTCTGGTTTCAGAACAGCACCAACCCTATTTTATCATGGGACTATTTTCTAAAACAGATAAATCAGTTGATGTATGATGTATTCATTTTATGTTTTCCTTGCGTTTTTTGCATGCTATAAATGCACCAAACCTACATAGTTACTGTCTGTTTTCACCACTGCTTGGGAATAAAAACTAATTGATTAAGTTTATGAAAAGATCAGTGGTGGGTTTAAAATGAATTCTGTCTTTAATCATGCTACCCTTAGGTTGCAGCATATAATTTTGTTTGCTGCTTAGACACATCAAATGAGCCAGTTGGTAGAGCACGTACCTAAAGATGCTCGAAAACATCTTAGATGAAAACATCTAAAAGAGATAGCATTTCTATATATAACTGGCTACCTTTTCCAAGTCACTCATTTATCCTTTAGTCCTTTCTGTGGAAAGACCTCTGATCTGCTTGGAGGTACACATAGTCATACACTCTCCCTCAAATGCACACGCAGTTTTGCAGACAACCAGAAATGAACACATAGTAGCTGTGGCTGCATGATGGTGCTAGCTCCCGTTTGAGTGGTGAGTGGTAGTCTTTTCCAGCTGAGCAGATTAGCAAAGATCTCCCACGCAGACAGAGTTGACCTTCACTCTGGCAAACACTTGTCAAAATGCCAGTGATAATTACCTGCTCTCCTCACAAACAGCTCTTTGGTTTATCCACCTGCATCTCAGGCACGGAGAACAAATCTATACTCCCCATAGCTGCCTGTTTGTGGACATGCACACTGCTCCTCACGGTAATTTCAGCTGCAACCATTCCTGTGTGACACACGTCCAACTCCTCATATTGTAATTTACCAGTCAGTAGGCATCAAGCCACCAGAGAATAAAGATATGAGGGTGGTTTAGATTTAGTCAGTGTTGTCTGAATTTTGGTTTGCGCAAATAAAAATCAACAGTTTCGTCTTTGTTTTTTTTGTTTTTTTGCTTTGTGTTTTTCTTTTGTTTTCAGCTAGAGGTGCACAGTGGCATCTGTGTTGGATGTCTTGTCTGTGTGCTGGTACCTTAACATCTGTATCCATGAGCGCGGAGGTCAGAAAACAACGGAATTCCTTTCTCTGAGTCTTTCTGCCTTCCTCTCCCCGCCCTCCCTGGGCACTTTCCCCTCTCCTCCTCATCACTGGCTGGCCTCTATGGTTGAGTGCTTGAATGTGCTCAGTTCGGTGATCAAAGTCTTCCTCAGTCTCTTCTCCTCCATTGCCCCTGGCTCTGTGGGTGCGTGTGTGAAAAATGCTGTGTGTGTGTGTGTGTGCGTGTGTGTGATTCGGCAACAAGCCCCTCTCTCAGTCATCTAAAACCGTCATTCTCGCTATCTTCTATCGGTCTCTGTGGTACCTTTTTCAGGCTTCCTTGCATCATCTGCCTGTCTGCTAGAGGGCAAACACACACATGAACACACATACGTGGGACTGTATGCACACACGCATATAGAAACCTACAATGATGCTCATTCGAAATGACACATCTCACTTTCCTGTCTTATGCATTGTTGATCAGAGAAACCTTCCCTCTCTCTTGTAATTTATTCACTCCACACATGCATGCGTGTGTGTGTGTGTGTGTGTGTGTGCATGTGTACTTGCTGCAGGGTTCCTGATAACCAGAGTTGTATGACTCACAGCAAACTGCTAAATATTGCGCTTGGGTTTCGGCAGGAACTCTGTACTGGGGGTGTTAAATGTCTTTTTAATTCCAAGGTCATGATGCTTCTTCCTTTTTGTTTTGATTTGTTTTTTTCTTTTTTCTTTTTTCAACTCAGCATCCTGTAACGCCTTCTGGGGAAAAAAAAAACTCACTGTAAAACGACAGCTATTAAAAAGGTGCTAATGGGGCATTTTCACATCTTTAAATTGGTCTCAAACGCCTTGTTTTTTTCAAATATTCTTCCAGCCCAGAGAGACGGCTTTGTCTCCGTTGACTCTTTGGACTGGCTACAGTTAAACAGGGTGTCAGGTGCAAATATTTTCTGTTGTGATGAGCTAAAAAGTAAATGAATTTGGCCGCGTCTCACACTTACCCTTTATCATTTTCAGTCTTGCTCTTTCCAGTCCTGGCCATTTGTCCATGCTCTCCTGCTCTTCCCCTGTCCATTCCTCAGTATTATCTATGCACCTTTAGTGCATGGTCAAGGCTACACTGCTCCTGTAAACACATTTACTGTGTCAACACTGCTGTTGCAAGGCCGCTGAAGACAGTAACAGGTGCCTGTCAACAGCCGGCCTGATCTCTAGTGCATTAAAGGATCTTTGCTGTAGACGAGGATTAGTGTCGCCTGGCATTGTTTATTTGCTAATTCCATCTCCAACGTATTTGTGGAAAACAGGCATGAATAATTGCAAGTGATTTCTAGTGGCCAAAACGAAGCTATCAGCGAATGGAGGGAGATTAATGAGTGGGGGGGGGCAACGCAAATTGGAACAACGCTGCAACCTTTCCCCACCCGCTGAGACCCCGAGTTCGTAAACAAAAATCGAATATGCATTGTTTCAGAAGTGGATAAAAGCTTTGAAATTGGAAATGGACGTAGAACAGGAAGGAAAAGCAGCACTATACGAATGTCAAATGTGAAATGTGTCAAAGCATGATATTGAGGCATTAAGCTGCTTTCCTCCCATCAGCGCTGAACATTTCATAATTAAATCTGTCCTTTTTGATCTAGAATGTCTTTGGATGAAAAACTCAGCTTTCTTTTAAGGTAATGAAAAATGTGATGTCACCTGAGCTTCTAAATCAAGCCTTGCATTTGTATGTGTTCATGCTTGCTGTTGAGTTAATAATGCCAACCTCATAGCGAACTTTTACTTTTAGAACTTTCTAACAGTGCAGCACCATTTAGATTAACCATTCAAGACCACACACATTTATTTAAAGCAAAAATATGCTTTTGTATTACTAAAGTGTAGTTTTTTGCTAGTGGTACAATAGAAATAGAGTCATTGCTAACATGATCTCAATGCAGAGTTGAATATTAGTCTGAAATAAGGTCATAGATTGTTTTAATATCCATACCATTTTTTCACTTATGGAAGAATAATAATAACAGCAGAGAAATTCTTCAGTAGCACAATTCTTTTAATTGCAATCTGAGAGGCCAGAATAATGTTACGTCTGTGGTTCTGGGTTCTGGATTCTGCAGAACTTTTCTACAGGAAAATTAAGTGGTTAGGTTTATGAATAGAAAAGAATCGGGCTTAACAGGTCAAATTAAAACTTAATATTGAAAATGGCTAGAAAAAAAGAAAAAAGAGAGAGAGATAGAGAAGAGGAAGTTGGTGGGGCTGTGTAAGGCAGAATCTGCTCAGAGCTTCAGCATCCCCTGCAGCAGACTTCACAGTAGTCGAGGACTGTAGTGTTACCAGAATGTATCAGGCTCCTCTGGAGTTTCATGATGATTATGATAATCATGTTAATACAGTATTTGATTTAGCAACTTTTCAAAACAGAGTTTTGAAAAAAAAGCTAATTATATTAAATTGCCATATGAAAAGAAAAATAACTCTACAGACCTGGATATGCAGAACAATGCCTGAAGCTGGAGTTCCTGGAGGAAAATGAAGAGCAGAGGCAGCCTCTGAGTCGTGGTGCTCCCACATTAGATAAAAGGAAAGATCACAGTGTGGCTGTGCTTCTACTGCCATCAAAAGCTATAATACAGGCACAAACAGACTTACTAAGGAGATAATAGGAAAGGAACAGCCCAAAATTTTCAGAATAGTTTGTTTTCATCCAGATACGTATGTAGAAGTGAGATAATATGTGGAATGCTGGTTCTGGGTTTCTTACCTTATACTTCATTATCATCCATCACCTTTATTGGAAAAGCAATTTTCAAAGAATAAAACAAGACTGGCTGTGGACAAAAATCAGGTATAGAAACTATTTTTGTTAAATTGTTTTTTTTAAAATAAAGCATAGACTTATTGTGGAATAAAAATAATTTTCTGTCCGTAGAAGCATTTAGTTTGCGTGTCTGAGCTTAGTCACTACTCAAAAATTCCTGTTTGTGTGCTAATATCAGATGTTCAGGATGCGCCTTCTCTTGTATTCTCATCTGATAAGTAATTTCTCAGCTTGTTTAAAAACAGACATATTGGGAACATGTGCAACGTTCCAATATTATCCTTCCAAAGCACAATGGAATGGAGGAACAATGAAGTTCACATTTTATAGAGCTGATATGTGACAGAGTAATGACATCTCAAATTTGGCATGTTTTTCATTCACATGTTTTAACAACTTGAGCCTGCTTGACGTGACGTGCACTGAAATGGTGCCTAACATGTACCTGCTCAAACTGCAGATGAGGATAAAATCGTTTTGAATTTTAATCAGTAGACCAAGTGAAGTCGAAGTTTTCTGGCTTTTTGCTGGATACCTTTTCATCCTCTAATGGTTATTAAATAGTAGTAGTCTTAAAAATAGACAGACCCCGAGGAGAATAGCGAGTACTCATGATGTTGAATTCTTTCTCCCTGGGTTTGCTACTTTGCTTGGATTACTTACCACAGGCCGGTAGTTTTTAGTGACAAACCCCACTTTCCCTAACGCTGGTGTTCAATCTCAGTTCTATGCTGCGATCTGGGTTATTACATATTGGCATTTTGAGACAGAGGAAAATATACATCGTTGGCATTAATGATTGTGATTTTATTCCTACCAAAGTTTCGTCATGTTTTTGTGTTGGTACGAATGGCTCCAGTTTACAAGGAGTTGATATTATGCGACACAATATTTCTTAATTGATCCTCTCTGGATTTCAGCCAGAATCTTGATGATGCTATTTTTATCTGACCTGGGAATTTGCCATAATTGAATTTCCAGATGAGCCACATGCTGGCAACAAAACATTTTCTCACACATGGTGGTGAAGTTAATGACAAAATGGCTCACTAGCTGCCTGTTTTATGAACTGACAAAACGGCACATTTTGCCACAAAGCCATAAAGACGATTAGCTCTCTTTGAGATAGTGATAGTGTATCTCATCAGAATCTGCATAAATAAAAATCTTTTTCATTAGTATTGTTTACAAAGATCTGAAAAATCCCTCTTAAAAATGTACTGGTGTTGGGGTTGTTTTCTCACCACTTCATAACTTCCATGAGTGCTAAGGGCACTAAAGCACAGACTGCTGAGCAGAAAGTCCAACCTCCACTTCTGTCCTGCAACCACCAGCAGTTTCTCGGTCTGTCTTTGCATCATCTCAATGCATCTAACCCCCATCTCCATATCGCCTTCATCTTCCATGCCCACACCCACAGTGAATAGCACTGAGAGACCATGAGCTGATGGCCCTCGTGTCAAGAACAGCAGGTACTCATACGATTTGTTTGTTGTGCAGTGGTTTGTGTACTCGATGAGTGCTACTTTATGAAGCAGCAGATACAAACATCTCTGTAAATGAGCTTTCTTTCTGTCCCCCTGCTAAGAGCCACACTTCAACATGAGAAAAGCTAAGTATGATGCATTTTAATTAGAGATATTTAGCTCTTTAGTCGCTAAATTACACTTAGCCGTCATCCAAACAGTACAACGGGTAGAGATTTTTCATCACTACTAATACTTTAAACCAAAGAGGAAAAAAAATCAGGCCTCCATTTTGTGCTGTAGCCCCATTTGCTTTTTTGTAGACTTGGGCCATGATAGCAGTCACAGTCTCAGGCTATGGATGATTGTAAGACTCTCTACTGCCACCACCTTAAAATATCTCTGTTATTAATCCACATTGCTAATGTTTTGTATGAGGGCACCTTGTAAATCTCACAGTGTTTACCCAGCTTATGCGCCAAATCCTCCGGTTTGAATAAGATGTTTGCTCATACTCACAATAAGGCTCAAACAGGTACAGCCTGTTCCTACAAGCGGCAAAAGGGAAATATCACTCACATGTTTATTTCCACATCAGGGAAAGCAGGGTTCTCAGGTCCTTTGTTGAAGAACCTGAAAGGTCTCCAGAAGGAAAATGCAAATGCCTCATGGACATTTTCTCGGAAAACAATCTTGCTGAAAGCATTTTCGATTTTGGACACTGCACTTGTATTTGTGTGCCACACATTTCCACTTTAAACTCTTTAATTTTTAGATGATTTACTGGAGATATGTTAAGAGTATATTTTAATTTTGCACATTGATTAAGTCAGCTTTAGAAATCTTAGCGCAACTTCTACAGCGTCCCTTTTAATGCCGAGCATGTCATTTAAGTGTTCAAGTCTGAAGAGCTTCTGTATTGATTCAGGGACCATATGGGCTCGGTGACTCGGAGCATTGTCTTGCTGAATGTAGACACTACGGAGATGATGGACATTGTCTGCATCAGTATGGTCTGGTACACCCCCTGGTACACCCCCAGTGACAGCCTGAGGTTGTTGATCCATGCTTTAATGTTTTTTATTCCGAATACTGACTCTGAGGAGCTCCTGCGAGGTTCAACTTGTTTAGCATCCTGAGATGCTTTTCTTTAAGCCTTGATCATAACAAGGGGTCATTTGGCTTACTTTTTCCTGCTGCTTGCAGGATTTCCACCTAAAAAAGCTGCAGCACTGGGGATGCTCAGACACAAAACTCACATGGGCGGTTACAACTTCAGACCATGTTCTTAAACAGTCTGCAAGCAAACATTTTTCGGTGATGTGAGACACGATCAGCTGGTGCATCATGTGAAGTTTCCATTCAGTGAGGCAAAATCAATAATGGCAAACTGAATCGAATACCTTCACCATCACATACAGCAACTGAGTGAACTTCTTCATATGTAGGAAAGCGTCTCTCTCTCTCTCATGCTGCCAGCCTAAGTACTTTTCGGCCTGATGTTTGCAGAAATGACAAGCACAGATTTGAAAAAAGAAAGAATTGTTTGCTAAAGGAAAACTTTCTGAGGCGATGATTGATATTGATCAACAAACACAATACTCGTGGTATATTTGTGTCATTCAAGTGGAAGGAAAGAAGATTTTGTACAAAAGGTGTTGTCGAAGCCATTGATTGGATACTATGCATTTTGTCAGCTATTGAGTCTGACTTAGATGTGCGTTCTAAAAACTTTCAGCCTGATCCAGAGTAGCTTATCTATAACTGAAAAGGCTGCTTATAAAAGTTGAATATACGATATAAGCTGAAGAAATATGGATTGTTTTCGTAGAGGCATAGCTGTAAATGGACTAACAAAGCCGCATGCGGGTATCAAAGAAACAGCAGATGATACTTAAAGTGCTTGAAACCACAAAGGCTTGGTAGAAATCAAAGAGAGACCGTACATCTGCAAGATATAGCCGTTCCAGGTGTGTGCATATCTGTGTGCATGTGTTTCTACGGCATATTCCTGTCAAAGCTCGACTATGTGTATGTGTATTTTTTTTCTTCTTAATGGTACATCCATGCTGAATTGGCCCCTGAATGCAATGTGCTCTGCCTGTGGTTCGGTGAGCTACAAGTGTGGAGAAACAAAAAGAGCCAGGCAGCTTCAAAGCGGGTGGGTGACATTTTGGGCTTTCCATCTTCAAAGCACTATTTGCTTTTGTAGTTCCTCTTTGAGTATGATTTTTTTCTAAGGAGTTACGGCTGTCTGAAAACATAAAGTAGAATTTGAGGGCTGTTTCGTAACATCTGCAGCAGAGGTTTTACAATGAGCTCACTTTATATTTTAAAGGGTATTTACTCCAATATTGCTCACCGGTATGTATGGTTTCTCTCCAACTGGTTTACTGAAAGTTTTTTTTACTGCTTATGGAACACCGCATCACAGTGTTAATCCTTATTTGCAGCCATCGGCACTGAATTGATCATTGACCCAATGAGCACCCTGTTGAGTGCCTCCAGATGGAGAAGAAGTAAAATCTCCCATGTTCTCTAACTCCCATCACCTTTCCTCTCTCTTCCCTCCACCCTTCTCATCCAAGTGCCTCTCTATAATTCATGTCCAGGTGCAGCACCAGATTTCTTTGGCAGGGGAGCTTGAAAGGGAAAAAAAGACAGATGTTCATTTTTTACTTCCTTTGTGCATCTCCCCATATTGTGTGTGCACCTCTTTTACAGATTGCAGCCTCCCTGTACCTCAGAATAGGCAGTAATTAAAGCAGCTCAGGGCCGTGACGAGCCACTGGCTGCTGCTCCGTGTGTATCTGCTCAATGATAAACAAAATCCCTACCGTTTCTGACTTTTTAAGAAATCTAGGAAGTAATGAGCTCTCCTCTTGTATTTTCTTCAGTGGGTGTTGGCTGCAACTGATTTTTCAGCCCCGGGGTCAAAGCCAAGCCCTCGGTGCAGATTCTGTACATCTGTCTCACAGAACGCGTGTGCCCCCCCTCCGGTCTGTGGAAGTCACTGAACTCTGCATGTACACAGCAAACGTACAGGCACAGTCTGGTGCACAGAGCTAGATGCTGAATGTTTGTTTATCATTTCAAATAGATTGTGAAATGTTCAGGTTTTGCAGTTTTAAGAATCGTGCAGCATATTGCTGAGTCACACGGCAGTCTGCAAATCAGAAGGTATGAGCACATCTTAAATAAAATCATTTCTATTGGTCTAAACTTCCTCCTTGTCCTTAATAAGGAGAAAAGAGTTTAGACATAGACATTTCAAATGGTTAGAATGCAGTTTTGCTTTTATTTTAAATTTAACATAACAAAGATTCACTGTTAGTAAACAAAAATTATTATAAAATAAATCTGTCATATTTTTATAAGATCTGTTGCTGACATCCTTAATCTTACATGGTCAAGTTCGTTGCCTATTAATGTTAAGAGTAAAGTTGCTTTTGTACAATGCATTTAATACATGAATGAAGCATTTTGTTTTTCTTTGTTTTTCTTTGTATTTACATTGCCACATGTGATGCTGGATTGCCAGAATAACAGTGCCAGTTGGTTTAACAGCTAAAATCACATACCTGGATTAGTGAAGCTTTGGACATCACAAAAACCTGAGCAAACATATGTTTGTTTACAAAATATTTTCTGTATACGCTTTATCCTGTTCCGAATTGAAGGGAAAACTGGAGCTTATTTCAGTTATCACAAACATTAGGTGGAAGATGGGTGTCCAGTCCATTATAGCACCAAAAAAGAAAAGCAAAAAACATTTATCTTTTCTGTTCAATTAGTAAAACAAAGGAATAATTTACAGAATTATCAACAGCCTTACTTTCCGCTTTGGCCTAAAGTTTGGCTGCGTGAAGTCTTTGAAAAGTACCATTCAGTTCCTTCAAGTTAAGCCTCAGAATGTGTCTTTAATACTGTTCTTTTACATTTTCCCTGCACTTACTTTAATTTGGAATATAGGAGTTTGTAGTGATGAGATAGGGTGAACATCTTTAGGGAAACCAACCACACTTGAAAGGAAAATCATTAGCTGTGGTTGCAGTGTTAACACACTTGTACTTTCCACAACTCTATTAGACTTGTTAGAGAGAGTTTTTTTTTGGTGTGGTATTGATTTTAAATGCACATTTTCGCAGGAAAAATACATTTTAGAGACCATCTGTATGAAATGGGAAAACTCCCTCAGCACGTCTTTTCAAATCTGGTTTCATTTATAGAAGCATTATGTTTTGCTTTTATCATTAACATGCCTATATTTTATCATTTCTTTTACATTAGTAGCATTAAAAGGTGGAATAATGAATTCACTTCATCGCGTGAAATAGACAATAATAATTTCTGTTCCATAATATCCAAATGGCACTTGCTGCATCTATATCTTTCCCTCTATATGAAATTGGATGTAGCATCCTGGCTGGGTCTCTGTGTGAGTGAGCCATTTTAAAATCAGTTGTCACTAATCCCCTTTAAAATGAACATCCGCCTGCTGTGTGGCAGTCGAAAAGAGAAAGAAAATATAGAAGGAAGTATGAAAGAAAAGACAATGAATTATGGATAAGTTTTAAAAGGGATATTGCTCCCTGCCCTTCTCACTGATTTTCTCCTCTCCCCCTTCCCATCTCTGTCTTTTTCTTGGTGTCCTCTGCCTGCATTTAAATCAATATGGGCTGGCTGTCATGGGTCAGTGGTCTGTGTGCATCTGTGTCTCCCAGAGCTCTTTTTGGAGGTGATAACTCATATCTCAGACCTCTCTTTAAGGGACACCCACTCTCACTTCAACTCCAAGATCCATCCATCCATTTTTTTCATATCCACCAAATTCAGTTCATTGTTGTGGCGGGCTGCAGTAAATGCTGTAACTGTCCACAGAGGTGGGATAAACCCAGGATAGGTAGCCAGTCACAGAGAAACAAATGAGGCACATGCATGTTCAAACTCTCTCCAATTTAGAGTCACTAGCATGTGTTTAAATAGTGGGAAGACAACTACCTGGGGACAACTTACGTAAACATGGAGAAAACATACAAACCCCATACACAAAGGTCCCAGCTGGGATTCAAACAGGGAATCCCCTCTCCGTGAGATGAAAATACATCCTTTTTCAGTTCCGCATATCCTGGAATAATATGTAATAAATATCAAATTGTCGTTTTGATATTGGGTAAACTTAATATTGGATGAACAAGACATGGCATGTCACACAATATAACTTATTTAACAACATCTAAGGCAAAGCACAGTAACGTAATTCATTCCCTTATTTATTTAATGTGGTCCACACCTAGGCAAGAGTGAAGATAAAACTGGAACCTCTGCTTTTGTACGCAGACCTTTGATGAGAAGTTATTGATTTATGGGGAGGTGGTTCAAGTATAAAAAAAAGCTATGACAAAATGCATCTGTTTTCAAAAAGGAAATGTGGAACATGGTGCAACATTCAAACCAAAGCAACTGAACTTCACAAACAAAATAAATGATGGTTTATCTGTCTTGAGATTACAAGCAATACACTTCATATTTCAAATCCATGTGTTTCACAGTGGTGTGTGTATCTAGCCACAGGCTTCCTCACACTCCGAGTCCAATTACCTGTGTCAAGGCCACATCTGAGACGGGGGATTACAACATATTATTCTAGCACAAACAACAGTCTCTCTGCCCACCAACCTGCAGGCAGCCAGACACAAGCAAGCGAGAAAGGTGTGAGAGGTGTTACATTAGCACCTGGATGTGCGAACAGCAGACTACTGACCTTTTATCAGTGACTGATACACTACCTGGAAAACTTGTTCACCCCCTGTAGATTCATACATTCCACTCTTCTGTCTTTCTGCCTCTGCCTCTCACTTTGTTTGTCCTTTTCTCCCGTCTGTCTTTACCTGATATTTATTTTTCTTGCCTTATCTCATTCGCCATTTTCTCTGCTTTGTCCGCAAAGCCAGAGCCTATCTGAGGTTTACCTCTCGTTTTCTAAACAGTTGGTACTTTTAGCAGCAGATGTAAGTCAAGATGTCGGCTCTTTCTCTTGACTGGCTGTCACCACTTGAAATTTTCTTTAACATGACTCACACTCTCTTTAACTCCCACGAGGCATCTCATGATACCGGGAAAAGGGACAAGTAAATGTCCCGTGCACTGAAATACCTCCACATAGTCATCTGTCACTGCAGTTCACACGGCATCATTTTATACACTTCTTTTCCATTATATAGCATTGCGTGTACCACAGCCACCATGCTTGTAGAAATAGCTCTGCCTGAACATCCTCGACGCTCACAACTTCCTTCAAGTCACCTGCCAGGGGCTCTAATTAGACTGATAAGCAGTGCAACTGGAATCAGCTCTTCCTGGTAATCAGCCCCACGGAGCCCAGACAGACGGCTAAATGAGGAGGAGATGAGCCATGCAGCCCAACAGGTGTCCTTAAAAAGACAGGGAGGTGTGCTTACACAGTCTTGCCTTTTTACCCTCTAACTACTTGAGAGTTCAATTGAAGTAAGGTTTGGAACTTGGGGAGATTTTACAGATATTTAGAGAATTAATCTTGGGGAAAAAATGACAGTATGTCGGCACTTCTGTGGCGTATAGATTTAATCATCATGCTGTTTCTCTGAGCCAATGCCCCCTTTTTATAAGGAATTGTTTTAAGAAACTCTGCAGAATGATTGATTGAGAGTGGGGGAATTATAGCAAATACACTCGTCAAATTGTGCATTTTGATTTTCAAACTAATACATTTCCCGTTTTTCTCTTTGCAGTTGCAGCTGCTCTGCTTTAGAAACATTATGATTATCACATTTTTTCAAGAAGCAAAATAGTAATAAAAAAAAAAGTCAAATGACACACAAGGCAGAATGAATGCAAAATTATATCTGTACTAATAAAATCTCAGAAGAGAAATGTCATATATTTCTCATTTTGACACCTGTGTGAGGCTGTTACACTTTCATTTTGTACTAGCCACTCCCGGCTGTAAACAGGAAAGCAACATGGTGAGATTAACGCTGAGATCTGAGGGGCCAGGATGCTTCACAGAGACACAGAGAGGCAGGACTGATATACTGCAGCTGTACGCTGCTTTGTCCACTCTCTGAGTGAAGAGTGTTGGAGGGATTTATTTAAAGGCTGATGTGTCAGCCCTGTTGTGAACCTCTGCTAGCTGGAAACATTGAGACGTCCTTAGAGGAAGTGAGTTATTTGGAATATGGAGACTGAAATTAGGGGAATAATTTAAATTAGTTTTAATAAGCCAAATAATTGACAAGATGTCAAACAAGCCTCTGTGAATAGGACTGGTACAAGAGTTCAGGGCTTTCCTTGGCTTTTGTGAACTGGAGCTTTGGCTTCTGGACAAAATTAACTTTTCAATTATCGTTTATTTCACCTGTCTGACATTTTACATAAGAAATTATGGGTTGAGGGAAGTCAATGACCAATCAAATGAGAACAAAGATAATTATTCACCGTAACCTTAATCAGCCACAAATCATTCCACTGATCAGCTCTCAAAGAATTTAATTAATTACCACAAAACAAGACCACAGTAGACAGTTTGTGCTTCAAATTCGAATAAAAATAATCGTTAACATCCCAACTGGCCACAAATGGCTAAAAACTAAAACTAAGTACAGAGCAGCCGCTCTGCTTATTCATTAACATTACATTGTTTTTTCTTCTAAAGCTTTTCTCACTAAGCATCCTAACTCTGGCTTTGCAGCTGATCGTTTCCATGTTGCTCCATATTGTGCGAAGCCAAACTTGAACACAACGAAGTTAATGCAGTTTAAATGAAGACTTTGGATTTTACGTAGACCATGAAAGATTATGCTTGATGCACCATTGTATGGTGATATTTTGATAGATTTGAAGAAGTCTGAATAGATAAATATTCTGCTTAGCTTTGCATGATATCTTGTTACATGTCAGTGATTCTTAGCACTGGTTTGTCATTTAATTTCTGTTTTAGGGAGCAAAAAGGCCCTCTGGA